TAGTCTCATGGCCTGCAGGGGTGAGGGGTTCTCTTGTAGCTAGGATTGAGGAATCTGCAGTGGGAAATGTGGACCACTGAGGACCTCTCATCCCCTCCCCACACCGGAGAGCCTCTCCTGGCTCCCAGTCGATCCCGGCCAAACAGGCTACCTTGCATCCTTCTCTTCCTGTGCATCAGGAGTTTCCTGGGACTTCTCTGTTGAATCCGGTGTCCTCTCTTAAGCGCTCTATTTGAAGAGTGATTATCTACTTGCTGTTCTGGCTCTTCCCTGGAGGGGAGGTGAGTGGCAGGTGCCTCTAGTCAGACATCTTGAAGCCCTTTTTCTTTTGACAATTTTTAAAAGCAAAATGACGACTAGGTCTATCTTCTAGATGAAAATGGAAATAAAAATAAGACACTTCTTAAATTACTTTATTTATCTATGCCTTTTCAAAATAAAGATCTCTCACTGTCTGGAGATCCCTTCTCCTACCTTCAATATATCCAGAAATCTCTCCCCTTCAAAAATCCTTTCTTTGACCTACCATTTCTATTTCTTTTATTCCTGCCAAATGTCTCTAACATTTGACCAAGCCCGGTGATTTTCTTTTTTCAGCTTTATTCCCTCCTAAAATTTTAACCATTTGTCCCTCTCCTCTATAGCAATTTAATGAGCTCATCCTCCTTGTCGCCTCTGTAACGTTTGGAATATTCACCACTTCCTCCAACCTGAAACTATCTCTGTTTAGACTCATGGGAAGCTCTTCTTTTGTTTCTTCTCCCATCCTGAAAAAATTCCCCTCCTTCTCTCCCTCCTTTCCTCTCTTCTATTCTCCAATTCTGTGCTAGACTTGATGCTGTACTTATTCTGATATTCTGTTTTCTTCCCTGGTAAACATTTTCAAAAACATTCTCCTTAGCTATCTAATTTAGCCTTATGATGATTTTTAAATGTGTATCTCCAATCTTAATTGTTTTTCTGAGCTCAAGTTTAAATGGTTTGAAGATTTCCTTAGATAATGGAGGGGACTCTTTTCTCTTTTCTTTTTCTTTTTTTTTTTTTTTTTTTGAGTTGGAATCGTCACCCAGGCTGGAATGCTGTGAAATGCTCACGGCCACCCCAGCATCTACCTGCTGGGCTCTGGCGATCCTTCCGCCTAAGCCTTCCAAATAGCTGGAATTACAGGAGCATGCTACCATGCCCAGCTAATTTTTGATTTATTATAGAGATGAGGTCTCACCAAGTTGCCCAGGTTGGTCTCGAACCTGTGGGCTCAGGTAATCCACTCGCCTTGGCCTCCCAAAGTGCTGGGATTACAGACTGAGCCACCGAGCCCAGCCCGTTTTCGCTTCCTCCTCTGTTCCTCTCTTACAACTTTGTTATTTCTCCCATTATTTAGACTTAAAACTTTGAAATCCTATCATCCTTCTCCATGAACAAGTCCTGATTCACCTTCCTCTGAGATTTTCTTTAAAATTCCACTGCTTCTACCAGCATCAAAGTCTAAGCTCTGGATTCCCGCATGGCCTTCTAGTCTTAAGTAGTATTCACTCTGGGCCCTTTAATACACTGCCATCTGACTGTCTTCCCAAAGACCTTTCTCTTTATGGCATTCTCTACCCCAAACTTTTGCAGCTCCTGTTCCTCACAGCCTATTGCAACAAACTAAACTCCGGGGCCTGACTTCCCAGAACTTCACCTACCCATAGCAGTACCGTCCACACTTATTTCTCACTGCTTTCCAAGTTCATTTCTGTTCTGTTTAGACTTTGACCCTAGTCTATACCTGATTACCTCTATTTCTGAATCTCTAAGAGTGCCTCACCCTTTAATTTTTGGTCATCCATACCTACAAGAAGTATTGTTTTTGACATCAGGTAAAATGCTAGAGTCCTTAGGGTCTTTGCCTAGAATTTCAGGAGGTAATTAGGTACTTGTATATGACTTTAATTAAGTAATGTACTAGGAGGGACCCCCAAAATGGAAATTATTTATTAAAAATTGTGTATTTATTCTTACACGTTTAAACTTCAAAGGACTCTTCATTTAATGCAAGACACCTATTAAGACACTTTTTCCACTGCTCAAAACAGTTTTTTGAACTTGTTAATTTCATGCCTTTTAGTGCTTGTATGGTTTTTTGCTTCACCTCTTCCACATCGGCAAAATGTTTCCCTTTTTCATCCGAGGAAATAAAAGGTCGCTCTCAGTGAGATCAGGTATATAGGGAGGGTGGGGCAGGGTCATGCTGTTTTGGTCAAAAATTGCTGAACACTCAGCAGTGTGGGCAAGTGCTTTGTCATGGTAGAAGAATCAGTCACCTATTTGCCACAGCTCAGGATGTTTCTTCTGCAAATCATGAGGGACCTTCTCAAAACTTCCAGATAAAAACTTTGGTTGACCATTTGATCTGGAGTGTACTACAAGGGACCTCCTCTCCAAAAGATAATTCCAGGGTATTGTTTTGCCCCCCTGCCTCGTATGTTAGTATTCTCCCTAAAGATGATGATGATGATGATGATGATTATTATTATTATTTTGAGTCGGAGTGTCTCACTCTGTCACCCAGGCTGAAGTGCAGTGGCACGCTCATAGCCACCACAGCCTCGACCTGCTGGGCTCAGGTGATCCTTCCGCCTCAGCCTTCCAAGTAGCTGGAACTATAGGCATGTGCTACCAAGCCCGGCTAACTTTTTTAAAAATTTATTGTAGAGATGAGGTCTTGCCAAGTAGCCCAGGCTGACCTCGAACTCATGGACTCAGGCAGTCCTCTCACCTCAGCCTCCCACTGCGTCCAGTCCCTAATGATTATTAATCATGGATTTCTAAATGTGTGCTTCATACTCAGCTAAGCAATTTACAGACAACATTTCACTTAACCTTCACAACAACCCTGTTAATTTATTATTAGTGGTGTGAGTTTACTTAGTTTATGAAGCAATGGTTCAAAAGGAAAGCCATAGAAGATGACACCCTTTCTCTTTAAAGCCCTTTGTGTGCGTGTAGTGACAACTTGAAAGAAAATGAGAATAGCAAGTGATTTTTAGCTGTGAGTCAGTAATAGGTAATTATTAAATTCAAGACAAAACGAGTACAGTAGTGTTTTGGGGGAGAGGGGTCAGAGAGCAGGGAAAGGGTTTCACTATATTGTCCAGGCTAGTCTCAAACTCCTGGCCTTACATGATCTTCTTACCTCAGTATCCTAAAGTGCTGGGATTACAGGCCACTATGCCTCAACTACCACAGTTTTAAGAGCTAAAACCAATTTCTAAGACTAGGTACTGCTCCATATGATATTCCAACATCTTTATGTCCCTTTTGTAGGTTGGCGTTTTGGGAAGGGGTGGTCATCTCTGTGCCTGGGGCCCTGTCCACACAGCCCCACTGGGAAATCGAAGGTAACTCTGCATCTAACAGCGCCCAGAACTGCACCCCTGGAATATCTGTTCCTGCCCTGGCTCATGTGATCATGCTGAAATTATCCAGTGATACACGTGTGCTAGGAGAAGGAGACAGAGAGACTGAAAGAGAGGCACAGGCACAGAGTTGACAGACAAGGAGACCTATGGATTCTGAGATTCATTCAGAAAGGCAAAAGGAACTCCCCGGAGTTGAGGGTTGTCATATGTGCTTGCTAAAAGGTGGGGCACTAGAGTTTTAGTGCTTCCTCAAATACTTCCCCACTTGGTTGTCGAGACCTCCATTAGAGATTTGTTTCGTTGGCTCAAAATATTTTCCTTTACTTTAAATGCAAGGTGATGTTATTTCACCATAGTCAGTTTCTAGGAAGATGACACATTGGTAAATAAGAAGATCTTTGGCAAATTTTACAAACCCATTGATTTGGGGAACTATTGTCAAAACTTGGTAAGATTTTTTTTTTTTTGAGTTGGAGTCTCACTCTGTCACCCAGGTTGGAGTGCAGTGGCACACTCATGGTTACCCCAGCATCAACCTGATGGGCTCAGGCAATCCTTCCACCTCAGCCTTCCAAGTAGCTGGAACTACAGGTGCATGCTACCACGTCTGGCTAATTGTTGTTGTTGTCGCTGTTGTTGTTGTTGTAGAGACAAGGTCTCGCCAAGTTGCCCAGGCTGGTCTCGAACCTGTGGACTCAGGCAATCCACTCGCCTCAGCCTCCCACAGTGCTGGGATTATAGGTTGAGCCACCAAGCCTGGACTGATAAGACATTTAATTGAAGAAATTTCTACTTGAATTATAGCCCCTGTATCCTGATACAACAATAGACAAAATCACCCACTATGGCTTATCATGATTACTTTCAGCACAAAACCACTTCTTGATTTCATAACCAAAACAGAGCTTTTTTTTTTTTTTTTTTTTTTTTTTTGAGTTGGAGTCTCACTCTGTCACCCAGACTGGAGTGCAGTGGTCACTCCCGGCCACCGCAGCCTCGATCTGCTGGGCTCCAGCGATCCTTCCGCCTCAGCCTTCCAAGTAGCTGGAATTACAGGCGTGTGCTACCACACCCGGCTAATTTTTTATTTATTGTAGAGAGGAGGTCTTGCCAAGTTGCCCAGGCGGGTCTCGAACCCGCGGGCTCAGGCAATCCACTCACCTCGGCCTCCCAAAGTGCTGGGATTACAAGCTGAGCCACCGAGCCCGGCAAAACAGAGCTTTTAATGGGCCATAAATTGCAGGGGATGTGTCAACTGCTTAGAATTTCTGGGCACATCTCCTCCTGCTGTCAGTTTCTTTTTTTTTTGAGTTGGAGTCTCAACTCGGTCACCCAGACTGGAGAGCAGTGGCCGCTCCCGGCTACCGCAGCCTCGACCTGCTGGGCTCCAGTGATCCTTCCGCCTCAGCCTTCCGAGTAGCCGGAATTACAGGCATGCGCTACCACGCCCGGCTGATTTTTTGATTTATTGTAGAGATGAGGTCTCGCTACCCAGGCGGGTCTCGAACCCGCGGGCTCAGGCAATCCACTCACCTCAGCCTCCCAAAGGCGCGGGATTACAGGCTGAGCCACCGAGCCCGGCTGCTGTCAGTTTCTTACCTGGTGAGACACATGCGCACGAAGTCTGCTGCGTTTTCTGAGAAGTGGTCTGGTAAAGGAGGCATCAGTCCTCGGTGTGCTCCAATGTAAAACATGGCAGCCATCCTGTCCATGGCGGCCAGTGGAGGCTTGCCTGTGGCCATCTCAAACACAGTGCAGCCAATGCTCCAGATATCTGATTTTCTTCCATAGCCAGACTCGTTGATGACTTCTGGGGCCATCCAATATGGAGTCCCATGCATGGACTTAAGAATGTCACTGTGGGTGCCATTTAAGCCTGCCCAGGCCAAACGCTTGGCACAGCCAAAGTCAATCAGCTTTATTATTCCAGTTGGCATGAGCATAACATTATTTCCTTTGATATCTCGATGTACCACACAGTTCTCATGGAGATAAGCAACACCTTGCAGAATTTGTTTTGTGTATTTACAGAACACCATCTCAGGCAATGGCCCAAAACGGTTTATAATACTAGAGATTGAACCACCGGGAACAAACTCCATGAAAATGCTCACAGTGTTCTCCTCCAAGCATGTTCCCAAATAGGTCACAATGTTGACATGCTTCAGGGTTTTGAGCAAATCTACTTCTTCCTGTAGTTTCCGGTATTCTTTTTCAGTAACTAATTTATTAGAGGTATCCAAAGCCACTTGTTTTACAGCTATTAACTGCCCTTGGCCAGTGAGACCGCAGTATACCTAGAAACAAACCAATGCCTTGCTATTAAATATAAATGAAATCATTTGGTCACAAAAGGTCTCATATGACACGACTTTCCCTTCTCCCAAGCCCTTGTATTTCTCCAAAATGCTAAGTATTTAAGCAAACTCATGTTTTAGTGAAGCCAAGATGGGTATGGGCAACATGGCGAATGGATATCATATTTGCTTGAAGTCAAGTGGCTAGGATTGACTAGAATCCTAGTTTCACCTCTCCCCAGCTGTACAACTTGGGGTAAGTTATGTAACCTTTTCAACTTCAGTCTTTCTCATCTGTAAAACTGAGGTGACAATATTTGCCTCACAGGTTTCTATAATGACTACACAAGATGGTGGCTTGGGAAAGTTCTTCACCAAATATAATAAATAGGACTCGTTTAGCTCCCAAGCTCTCTGGAGAGAGGAGACAAGTCCTGGCAGTCACCCTTGTGATGCGATCTCAGTGGTTTTGTGTCTTCCCACCTTCTCACTGTTTTCTGAAATATCCCCAGCTAGAGATAACACAGGTTTTATTTGTGGGCTAAACTTTTCTTCATCCATCTATGTAAATAACTAAAGTGCTGGGACTTTAGATGGGCATATACAAATAAATACATAGTATATATAATACTAGTACATATTTATGGGGTACCTATGATATTTTGATACATTATCAAAAATATAGAACATATAATGCTCGAGACAATGTTTAGGGTATCCACCACCTCAAACATTTGTCATTTTCTTTGTGTTGGAAACATTTCAAATCTTCTATCTATTTTGAAATAAAAATATATTGTTGTTAACTATAGTTACCCTACTGTGCTATCGAACACTAAAACATATTCCTTCTATCCAACTATACATTTATACCCACTTTTTCCCATCATCCCCCCGAGGGTCTTTTATGCAATTCACAAAATTTAGGGAACGGCTTTTGTTTTTGCCACCCAGCAATTATTTTCTAAACTGCCAGTAACATACTGAGCTGTTAAAGGAAGAGATTTCCCTCCCACTGGACTTGAACCTGGGAGAACAAGAGGCTTGAAAGGCAATGGCCATGGTACTACCATATTGAGCCCGAGAAAGAGCCAGACAGAGGTGGAGAGAGACAAAATCTTAATGATATTATTTGACCCCTGAATCTATCTGTGCCCAGAACCAGACCTTTTTGTTGAATAAAGCAATAAATATTCTTTATCTCAAGCCAGTTTGGGGTGGGTTTTCTGTTACTTCCAACAGAAGGAATTCTAAGTCAAAGAGTGATTGCAGAAGGGGACAAGGAGGAGGTTTAAAGCAGAGGGGGAGGTCAAGGAGGTACGGGCAGTTCTGATTTCAAGTTTCCAGTTTAACTTACTGTGCCATAGGCTCCCTTCCCAAGGATCTCACCCTTGGTCCACAGGACAGGTTCTTCATACTTTAAACTATTTTCAGAAAATGTCTTCTTTTCATTTGAGTTGAGAAGTTCCTCCTCCCTGTCATATATCCTGAGCCCATTACTATGCCTCTGGAAGAATGAGACAAAAAGAAATATCACCATTAAATTCTGAGTCATTGGGATGCGTCTTCCTTTCAAATGCACTTGCTCGTGGCCATTCTCATTGTCCATGGGACGCATCGTCTTCTGAAGACACACAGTTCCCTAAAATAACTAAGTAGGATATCTTAGTTGTGAACTTTAGCCTTGTTAACTATACACATTTTAAAGTCACATATAACTTTGTATATTTTATAGGAGGGAGTCTTAGGCTTATTCATCTTTGGGACTACATGGGCCTGCAGGCTACTGACCACTGTCATTTGAGAATGACCTTTCACAAGGCCCATGTAGTACAGGCACAGCTTCTCTTACTAGGTAAGTGTTCTAGGAACCCACTGGCATCAGTGTATCAGCTAGTGTTGTTGTGAGAGGCTGTGTTCAGCTTCGTGAATTTTTTTTGGAGATTCTTTCAGTGTGTTTGCCTATTTCATGATGGGTGCCCGCACCATGCTGAGTGTTCAGCAGTTTTGGACCAGAAATGACATGACTCCTATGCCCTGCCCTCCCTATTCATCTGCTCTCACCCCAAGTGACTTTTCTTTGTTTTCCCAGATGAAAAAATCCTCAAAGGCCAACGTTCTGGCAGTGTGGAAGAGGTGAAACCAAAAACAGTAGAAGCACTAAAAGGCCTCAAAATTGATGAGTGCAAAAACTGTTTTGAGCAGTGAGAAAATCATCTTGATGGGTGTATTGCATCAAACAGGGAGTACTTTGAAGGTGACTGAAGTTTGAACATATAAGACTAAGTACACATTTTTTAATAAATAAATTCTGGGGCTTTGGGGGGTCCCCCCTCCTATGTCAGTGTGAGCTGTCTCCTCAGCCCCTACCCTCAACTTTCTCTTCAAGATTCTCATTATCCTAGTCAACTTGCTCCTAAAGACAGACAAGTTCACAAAGAGATACATACATACATAGCCACACACACTCATTCACACATATTAACATATGCATTCATACAAATATACATAAATACAAATGATGTATAATCCATAAACATACATGCACACATGTATACATGCATATATGTACTGAGAGACAATATGCAAACCGACAATGGCCAGACCATATATAAAAGTAGAACTCAGCCGGGCTCGGTGGCTCAGCCTGTAATCCCGTGCCTTTGGGAGGCTGAAGTGAGTGGATTGCCTCAGCCCACGGGTTCAAGACCCGCCTGGGCAGGCAAGACCTCATCTCTACAACAAAACCAAAAAATCAGCCGGGCGTGGTAGCGCGCGCCTGTAATTCCAGCTACTCGGAAGGCTGAGGCGGAAGGATCGCCGGAGCCCAGCAGGTCGAGGCTGCGGTGGCCGGGAGCGGCCGCTGCACTCCAGTCTGGGCGACAGAGTGAGACTCCAACTCAAAAAAAATAAAAATAAAAAAAATAAAATTAGAACTCTGGGCCGGGCATGATGGCTCATGCCTATAATCCCAGCACTTTGGGAGGCTGGGGCGAAAGGACTGCCTGAGCCCACAGGTTTGAAACCAGCACGGACAACTTGGTGAGACCTCATTTCTACAATAAATCAAAACGTTAGCTGGGCGTGATGGCACGTGCCTATAGTTCCAGCTACTTGGAAGGCTGAGGCAGAAGGATTGCCTGAGCTCAGTAGGTCAAGGCTGCGGTGGCCGTGAGCAGCATGCCACAGCACTCCAGTCTGAGTGAGAGTGAGACCCCAACTCAAAAAATAAAAAATTTTTTAAAAGTAGAACTCTGACCTATAATCTACAGTCACCAGCCCAGGAAATCAACCCGTTATCTGCATAACCAGACCAGGAAGCCGATTTACTATTTACAAGGCAGACTTGTAGAAGTCAAACTAGTATCTCTACCAAACAGTCCTGAAAGCCAAACAATAACTCTTGTAACAACTGGTCCCAAACAGCCAGGATTTGATTAATAACTGACAACGTCTCTAATTTTTGTCCCCACATCTCCTTAGTTCCAATCAGAGAAAGCCAAATATGCAGCCCTAAGCAATCACATAGGATGCCCACTTCTAGTGAGCCTCCTACAACTTATTCACATCAACACCCTCCAAGCAGGGCACACCTGAAACCTTCCCTCGTTTCCACTATAAAGCTTTCCCATTCCTTTGCCTGCCTATGAGCCTCTGTCAAAATGTAAGCAATAGTGGCTGACTGCCTTGCTATAGCGAGCTCTGAATAAATAGCTTTTGTATATTTCTACTTTATTTCCATAATACACATATACACTCAAAAACATTCATAAGCATATATGCTTCCACTTATATACATGCATATACAAATATGCACATTTACATACAAACACACAACACAAATAAACATTTTCTGTCTCTCTCTCTCTCTCTCTCTCTCTCTCTCACACACACACACACACACACACACACACACACACACACACACACACACAGCCATCACACACAATTTTGGTGGTCAAGATTAATGGCCAGGCGCAGTGGCTCAGTCTGTAATCCTAGCACTTTGGGAGGCCAAGGAGAGAGGACTGCCTGAGCCTGGAGGTTCGAGACCAGCCTGGACAACTTGGTGAGACCTCGTCTCTACAATAAATCACAAAAGAAAAACTAACCAGGCATGGTGGCATACATCTGTAGTTCCAGCTACTTGGAAGGCTGAGGCGGAAGAATCGCCTGAGCCCAGCAGGTCAAGGCTGTGGTGGCCGTGAACATGCCCCTGCACTTCAGGCTGGGCGACAAGAGTGAGATTCCGTCTCAAAAAAAAAAAAAAAAAAAAAAAATACAATTAAATTAATGGTCCTGAAGACCCTTTGAGTACCAAGGAGAACCTGCAGAGCAGCTGCATCAGCATTGCCTGGAAGCACGGTAGACCTGCCAAAGCTAAGGCCCCAGACATACTGAATCAACAACAATATTTTAACAGGATCTCTAAGAGATCCTGTTAAACTTTGAGAGGCACTGCCCGATAAGTCAGGAAATATGTCTCTTTTGTAGAATTTGGATCACTTTTTTCCAATTGGTTGGTCAAAGCCCAAAATGCTTCTCTCTGGTCACTTCTATTAGCAATCTTAAAAATAAACAATGATGGTGTTGCAGAGGCATGGTGAAAGGCTCTTTAGGAGCAAGAAACCCTGCAGGGCCACCTTCGTCATGAACGTCCACATGGCCTCCAAAGGACCCTTTGGGTTCCTTCTATTCTTCCTCTTATGTTTTTTTAGCCATACTAAAAAGCTAAAATCTCAACCTGTTGGGCTCAGGCAATCCTTCTACCTCAGCCTTCCAAGTAGCTGGAACTACAGACACATGCCACCATGCCTGGCTAGTTTCTTTTAGACTACTTGGAAAAGAAAAAAATCACAAAAGGTCCATTTTTTTTTTTTTTTTTTTTGAGTTGGAGTCTCACTCTGTCGCCCAGACTGGAGTGCAGTGGCCGCTCCCGGCCACCGCAGCCTCGACCTGCTGGGCTCCAGCGATCCTTCCACCTCAGCCTTCCAAGTAGCCGGAATTACAGGCACGCGCTACCACGTCAGGCTGATTTTTTGATTTATTGTAGAGATGAGGTCTCGCTGCCCAGGCAGGTCTCGAACCCGTGGGCTCAGGCAATCCACTCACCTCAGCCTCCCAAAGGCGCGGGATTACAGGCTGAGCACCAAGCCCGGCAAAAGGTCCATTTTTAACTCCATGATTGCAGGGTGGAGTTAAGGGCTGATTATATTTAAGAGCTTGTTAGCTCTTTTTCAGTTTGAAATGGCAGAGTAGCCGGCCCCTCTGAGACACAGGCGTGAACACACATGACCCATTTTCCATCCTAGTGGAAGCTTCTCCAAATCACTATTCACCTTCCAGTTTACCTTGAGGGAGGAGCTAGCTGGGTCTTAGTACACGAAATATTCCCGTTGTGTAGTGATTAAGAGTGCGGAGCTGGAATCAGAAAACCTGACCCCACTACTCACTAGCTGCCTGTTTTCTGAGCCTCCCTTTCCTCACCCACAAAACGGGGCTCTAACAGTAAACCTGTTATGAAGCATAAAAGGAGACAATGGATCTCACCTGTACGTGATAAGTTCTCAACAAATCTAGCTGCAGTATAATTACTTACCTTGTGTGTTCTTCTGATCAACAATTTAAAATAATTATCCCGGTCCTGGAATATTGTGGATACAGTGTGATATGACCTGAGTTCGTGTTCAATAAATAATATGTCAGCTTACCTTACCCTACCATTTCTGTCTTTAAAATCTGAGTAGAACAGGAAGCTTGTTACTTCCGCGAAAACGAAAACAAACAAAACAAACTCTCAGCCACTGCCTTGCTGGACTCTGGTGTAGCCATGTGCTCTTCGAGCTATGGCTGTCGCCATGCTTCCTGACTTTGGCCCTCTCCCCCGCCTTGGGGAGGTGAATCTTCTCTCTCCTTTCTCGTTCTCGCTCTAATTTATTTGTAAATAAACTATATAATGGAAATCTAACTTCTGTGCAATTCTTTGCATCTTTCATGGGACATCGGATCACACCCCAGATGGCCACACTCATCTTAGAGTGCCGGCCTTCTTCCTATCTGTGGGAAGTGATATCTTTCTTAAATCAATCTTTTCTTCACCTCTTTGTGTTACAAACCGTTGTGTTACTCGGATCTCTGGTTACCAGAGCTGTGTCCCCTCCGCACCCTCCGTACCTAACATTTTCTGGAGGTCCCACCAAGATATTCGAGATCTCTCCCTTTCTCTCTTCTTCCTTATTTCCTAACTGGTGACCCTCTGTGGACTGTGTTGGGACCTGGTGGCAAATGAAAGCTCTGGCTGAGGCTACACTTCAGTGTGCTGGAAGGTCCCAGGGAAAGACGTGGAATCGCTGCGACCTGATAGGGTGAGGGACTAAGGTTAACTCTTCATTTTCTTCTAACCAAGATCAAAAAAAGAAAAAAACAAAACTCTCTGTTGGTATTCTTCTTCTCCACTCTACTCCCCCTCCCATGCCAAACATTAAAATAATTTTTTTTGCATGATTTGTGCTTGTGCTTCCTTGAGAGCAGTGACTGAGCTTTGAATACCACTATGTCCCACTTTTAGCCCAGTGCCAGAAACACAAGAGTTACCAATCATATTTGTGTGTCAAAGTAGTGAACCATCTGAAAGCGAATGCTCAGGCTCAGGGACCCCTTAAGAAATGCACACTCATGTCTTCATAGGAATGGAATGGTGAGCTACTTCAGGGGTCATGTTCATTGCTTTCTGTCTCACACACCACCCAGAGCAATGTTTTGCCTATAATTATCTTTCCGCTGATAGCTGAAAATTATCTGCTGTTGATTGAAAATGTCATCACTGAACAAAATATTGACCTATTTAAATAGCTTTGCTATAATTAATTTACCCAATGTGATTTCATTGCAGTGCGAAAGCTAGCTAAATTCCAGAAGGGAAAATGGTGCAATTAAAAAAAAAAAAAAAAGCATCTCAACCTGGGAGTCAGAGGACCTGGATTACAATCTTAGAATCAAACAATGAGACCTTTAAGGAACTGCGTAGGTCGGGCTCAGTGGCTCAGCCTGAATCCCAGCACTTTGGGAGGCCGAAGCGAGTGGATTGCCTGAGTCCGTGGGTTCGAGACCAGCCCGGACAACTTGGCGAGACCTCATCTCTACACTAAATAAAAAATTAGCCAGGTGTGGTAGCACATGCCTGTGGTTCCAGCTACTTGGAAGGCTGTGGTGGAAGGATCGCCAGAGCCCGGCAGGTCGATGCCGGGGTGGTCGTGAGCGTGCCACTGCACTCAGCCTGGATGACAGAGTGAGACTCCAACTCAAAAAAAAAAAAAAAAAAAGGAAAAAGAAACTGTGTAATTGTCCAGGGTTATGAAAATAAGAGGTTTGAACTAGATTGTCTCTGAGGTCCTTCCTACCCTATATGAATCTCTGATTCTAATTATACCAACCTGTATTTTGACATGTGTGGTCTCTCTGCCCGATTGTTTTGTGATACTTCCTCTCCTACTGAGGTCAAGATTTAGATTTTCAGGATCTGTTTCATTTGCCATAATTTGACAAGAGTTGCAGTCTTTCTCATCAAGAGCTAATAGTTCTGCAGCTAGACATCCTAATAGTTCATCTGTCAATTCCTCATTCTTTACAGAGTCCAGAATTTCTTGGGAAATAATTGAACCTGTGTCATTTAAAGATTTTCCAGATGTTTGATATGTGATAGGCTTATTTGCTAAACTATCATGATCAGAAGAACGTGCCCAGAGTTGATGATATGTTTGGAAAGACGTGCTTTCTTGTTTCTCTTGGAAAGAGAAACTCATAAACATTTTAGACATATCTGAAACACCATCAAGTTCTAGATCATTAGTTAAGATTAGACTGGAATGTATTTTACCAAGAGAGGCTGTATTCTGCTTTTCTTGTGGTATATGCTTATTAGAACTCTTCTCACTGGGCACTGCCCAGCTGTTCTCTGAAGGGACAAATGGAGTCGAGTGATGCAGCTCTTCAAGTTCCTGCAAATCTCTGAGGCTCATGGCAAGTATTTGATTGCTAGAAAAGTCTCCATCAGTAGACGCTTCCAAAAAAACTTCTTCAACAATAGATAAATCTGAGACAGGAAGGAGTTCGTTCTGTCCAGTGGACAGCTTAGGAGTCTGAGCCAAGTTCATGGGATGAACTTCATCTTTGGAAGATAGAAAGTCATTTCCTGAAGATTTTATCTGCCAGTCTGGTTTGAATATATCATTACCTTTTCCAATGTCCTGTAGATTGCTACCTACAGCCTTGCAACCCTTTTCTTTTGAAATCAAGCCTTTGTGCTCTTGTTTAATGTCAAGTGAAGCCTTTGGGGCCTTAATACGTGGTCTTCTCTGAGAAAGTCTTGTTCTGCAGTTGCTGATCCTCTCACTGTGTGAAGACCGACACTTACTGGTGATACATCTGCCCGATGGAGCCGAACATATCTCATGGTAATACTTGTTTTCACGCCGTTCGGCCTCTCGCACATGACAATAAACAGGGGTCCCAAACATTTCATAGATTCCAGGTCCATTAGTAGCTGAATTGATTTCTTTGAACATGTCACTATACTTAAGATCTAGGTAATTTAGTCTTGGCTTTGTTGGTTGAGCAGAGGGAGGAACAAATGACTTTTTTATTCCTGAATTTTTACAGATGCAAGGAAATGACTGTTTTTTAGGTTTCTGAGTTCGGTGAGTTGATTGTTTCTTTTTTGTTTGTGGCATTCTCCTTTGAAACGTGGGCAATTGTTGAGGCCTGGTGTCAACAAGCCCCAAAGCTGGGAAAAATTGAGTTTTTATGCTGGTCTTATGCATGGTGAACTTAGTGGAAGCTTCAGTAGAAATCATGAGATTCTGAGGTGTCTTGTTACTTGTCTTGGTCTTTGGATCCAACTTATTTCTATGGGTATTCATCTTACGCTTGTCATTTTCTTGGTGTACAGGTATGTTAACACTATGATTGTTATGAGTAGTTCCCTTTCTTTTCTGGAGGCTTGGTTTAATTATCGCTGGTTCCTTGGGAGTTCCATCGGCAGGGAAAGTGACATGAATAAGAGGAACCATTCCATTTATCTCTAGTTTGTCCACTTCTGCGATTTTTATGTTTGTCCTTGTGCTGTTAAGACCTTCTGGGAGCTTCTCAATGGTGCTATCAAAGACGACATTGGACAAGCTTTTAAGCACAGTAAACTTTTCTAAAACATTTGGCTCAATTACTTCACTTTTATGTAATGAAGTGCTCTTTGAATCAGCGTTATTATTTCTCATCTCGTTATCCTGGCTTGGAGTGACTTCTGAATGCTGGGATTCCTGGAACTTGCTTGGAATGGTACATATGATTTCTGGATCTTGTTCATAGCTCTTGGCTACTGAACTCTCTTTCGTTCTTGATGAAAAATACTGAGAGTTCTCTTCTTCTGCTTTCCTCATTTTACTTCCATGGTAGTCAATATCCTCTTCACTGTCTGCAGGAATGTTGTCATGCTTAGAATTCTCAAAAGACACCCAAGACTGCCCTTGTTCAAAGTGAGAGATTTCAGTTTTGTCACATCCTTCTATTTCCTTGGATTTCCAATTCGCCTCCATCTCCAAGTGTTGTCTGTGATGGTTAGCCTTCCAAAAAGAGCACATGTTTCTTGACCAAATGTTGCTATCAGAAGACCTAAAAGTCTGATCCATCAGCACCTTAAATGGGGCTTCCTGTGGCTTGTTTGATGAGCTAAATTCATCAGATTGACTAACAGATCCTGAAAGCTTAGGTACAAAAGATGTGGGGCTTGGAATATTTCTTTCTCTGTATTTCGGATCCTTGTGATTTTGGGAGATGGTAGGGACACCAGATGGCATGGGCAAGAATGACAATGGTGGCAGGGAGAACTAAAAAGAAAGAAAAAGCTATGAATGCAGAAATATATATACATATCATGTTAACTGGTTTAAGGTAATCTGAAGAGATTCTCCTAAGGAAAGCTTTAAAAATACAAAGCTATCCTCGATACCACAATTTTTAAAACTATTAATATCATTCCCAGACATTTTTTAGAACCAAGGTAATAATTTTAGAAACCAAAATTACTATAGATGCAAACATTCATAAATATTTAAAATGAAGACCCTATAATGTAAAGGCTAGTTTTGTTGCTGTTGTTTTTTTGTTTTGTTTTTGAATTGGAGTTTTACTCTGTAGCCCAGGCTGGAGTGCCGTGGCACACTCATGGCTAGTGCAGGTTTTACCTACTGGTCTCAGGCAATCCTTCTGCCTCAGCCTCCTGAGAAGCTGGGACTACAGGTGTGCACCTCCACGCTCGGCTAATTTTTTTGTTTATTGCAGAGACAAGGTCTCGCCATGTTGCCCCGACGGGTCTCAAGCTCCTGGGCTCAGGCAATCCTCTTGCTGTGGCCTCCCAAATTGCTGAGATTACAGGTGTGAGCCACTGTGCCTGGTCATGTAAATGTTTAAACTTTTAGATAAGAAACATTTTGTTTCTCTTCTTTTTTCTTTCCACAGAATTGATTTAAGATCTTAAAAATTCCACAAAGAACAGTTTAAAATTGTTACGACATATGTTTTAACAATGTTCATTCGGTTATTTACTAACTTGGAATTTGCATCTAGAACACAATCACTCATCGTTGTTTTGCTCGATTGTTTTGTTAAGGGTGGCTTACATATATGCCACACTTGAACATTAGCAACTCTGGGTAACTAACTTTTCATTCTCCTTGGCCCTCCATTTTCAAATCAACCTCTAGAGGTCAATGTAACCCAATATATGATATTCAACTTTGTAGTCATTCGCAATGAGCATAACTATGTCTCTTCACTGTGGCCGTTTCCTGTCTATGTAGTTTCATATTTAATTATATCAGGATATTTATAGGCATGGATCATGGATGGTCATTGATAGCTATATCAATACTATCTCCATTCTGTCACCACATGTGCGTAAGAAGGGAGGAAAAAGAACCTGACACTAGAAACAGGCATTAGACGTAGATGAAGCCAGGCTCGGTGGCTCAGCCTGGAATCTCGCGCTTTGGGAGGCCGAGGTGAGTGGATTGCCTGAGCCCACGGGTTCAAGACCTGCCTGGGCAACTTGGAGAGACCGCATCTCTACAATAAATCAAAAAATTAGCCAGGCATGGTAGCGCACGCCTGTAGTTCAGCTACTTGGAAGGCTGAGGCAGCAGTATCACCGGAGCCCAGCAGGTCGAGGCTGCGGTGGCCGGGAGTGGCCATTGCACGCCAGTCTTCTGGGTGACAGAGTGAGACTCCAACTCAAAAAAAAAAAAAAAAAAGAGAGAAGTAGAGGAGATGTTATTGTCTATCAGATGATTTTCCCCTTTTCTTAGAAATAATTTTGGAAAGAAAGGTATATTCTCCTAGTGCTTAACCATCTCCCTAGTAATGGCTATTAATTTTTTTAACTCAACAAATCCCTTTTTATAACACTAAGCATTCCTTATGCCTAAGTATTTCTCAAAGGCTCATAGGATAAAGAAGGGTGAGATAATTGAGAAAATGAAAGAATTGCAAGTATCTTTCCAAAAACTTTACCTACCAGTTAGACAACTGGGAAAATATTTCTACCATGGGAAAAAAAAAAAAAGAATTACCTAATTTCTAGATAGGTTGAAAGAACATAAAATAAAACATGTCTAGAAGAGCTACACACTTCATTATGTAGAGAATAGGAAAAAAAATCCAGAAAAACAACGCACATGGTAAGGCATGATTTTCCTAGGAATGATTTGCCACTCTGTAAACTATATGTGTGTTGTTGTTTTTCCAAGAAATACAGTCGATCCTTCAACAACACAAGTTTGAACTGCGAGGATCCACTTATACGTGGATTTTCATCCACCCCTGCCACTTCTGAGGCAGCAAGACCGAACACTCTTCACTCTCACTTCTTCAGCCCTACTCAGCGTGAAGATGTTGAGGAAGAAGACATTTATGACCATCCACTTCCACTTAATTAATTGTAAAAGCAGTTTTTCTTCCTTATGAGTTTTTTCCTTTTTTCTTTTATTTTCTTTTTTGAATCAGGGTCTCACTCTGTTGCCCAGGCTGGAGTACAGTGGTACAATCATGGCTCACCGCAGCCTCAAACTCTTGGGCTCCAGTGATCCTCCTGTCTCAGCCTTGTGAGTAGCTGGGTTGCTGGGACTACAGGTGCGTGCCACCATGCCTAGTTAATTCTTTTATTTTTTTAATTATTTTTATTTTTTAATTTTTTTGAGTTGGAGTCTCACTCTGTCACCCAGACTGGCCACCGCAGCCTCGACCTGCTGGCCTCCGGCGATCCTTCCGCCTCAGCCTTCCAAGTAGCTGGAACTACAGGCGCGTGCTACCACGCTCGGCTAATTTTTTGAGTTGTTGTAGAGATGAGGTCTCGCCAAGTTGGCCAGGCGGGTCTCGAACCCATGGGCTCAGGCAATCCACTCACCTCAGCCTCCCAAGGCGCAGGATTACAGGCTGAGCCACCGAGCCCGGCTAATTCTTTTATTTTTTGTAGAGATGGGGATCTCACTATGTTGCCCAGGTTGGTCTTGAACTCCTGGGCTCAAGCAATTCTCAACCTCTCAAAGTGCTTGTATTATGGTGTGAGCCCCTGCACCCAGCCCTTATGATTTTCTTAATAACATTTTCTTTTCTCTAGCTTATCTTATCGTAAGAATACAGTACACAATGCATATAATACACAAAGTATGTGTTAACCTACTGTTTTTGTTATCAGGAAGCTTCTGGTCAAGAGTAGCCTATTAGTTTTTGGGACATCAAAAGTTATACATGGATTTTTGACCTCACAGGAGTGTCCATGCCCCTATCCCCTGTGTTATTTTATTTTGGGTCAGAGTCTCACTCTGTCACCCAGGTGGAGTGCAGTGGCACACTCATGGCCACCGCAGCCTCGATCTGCTGGACTCAGGTGATCCTTCCACCCCAGCCTTCCGAGTGGCTGGAACCACAGGCACGCACCCCCACACCCAGCTCATTTTTTTTATTTTTTGTAGAGATGAGGTCTCACCAAGTTGCCCAGGCTGATGTGAGCTCAGGCAAGCCTCTCACCTCGGCCTCCCAAAGTGCCCTGTGTTTCAAGAATTAACTGTAATCCCTGATTATTTTATTGCGAATGGTTTGGTAGAATCTGTCTTTGACAACAAAAGTTCTTTGGCTTTAGTTCTAAGTCAAAAAACCTAATACTAATCTTACCTCCATCCTTTGGCTACAGTACTTCATATCGAATGAAGAAGACTCTACAATGAGAAAAAAAATAATAATCTGGTATTCTTAGTAGTAGACTGAAAGCAGTCTTAAGCCAGGTAATCTAGATGCTAAGATTTGGGGAAAAGTTGTAGAAATTAAGAGTTTTTCCATGAGGGGACACCCCTTATCAATAAAGGTGCCTGAACGATGCATATGTGTATACCTAACCCTTAACTGTACCCCACAATTTTAAAATAAAAAACATGCTTTAAAAAAAAGAGTTTTTCCCTGGGACTTACATGGAGATGGAAATGAAATGATTGCCTAAAACTTCAGGCCACTGCCACTAGCAGGGGTTATTGTTTCATATTTATATCTATATTCTGATATGCAACATGAAATGTCTGGAGAAGAGAGCAGACCACCTATTACTCACAGAGCTTCATAAAGCTAGTTCCCACATCCCAGATCCTCACAGGGTGACGTGCTGGGAGCCCGATGTGGCATAGATGGTAAAGCTGTATCACAGGAGGGAGCCCCAGAATCATGAGACTTGGTGGGGTATATAGAGTGGGTGGCACTTTGGCCCATCTTTCCCTCCAGAGAAAGAGAGACTTTTCTATGAAAGGTAAATGAATGTTTCTAGGAGAAAGGTATCTCTAGGTTGCAAACAAACAGCTCCTGGGGAAATATACCTCTAAATATCTCTGGAGCATAGTTAGACTATCTCTAAGTCCCTAACTTCCAAGGCATGTTTGCCATTCAATCATTTCTTTTTGGCGGGTGAGGAGTCAGGGTTTCACTCTGTCTCCAGGCTAGAATGCAGTGGCACAATCTCGACCTCCTGGGCTCAGGCAATCCTTCTGCCTCAGCTTCCCGAGAAGCTGGGACTACAGGTGCACACCACCATGCCAGGCTGATTTTTTAATTTTTTGGTAGAGATGAAGTCTCATGTTGCCTAGGCAGGTCTCGAACTCCTGGGCTCAAGCGATCCTTACGCCTTGTCCTCCCAAAGTGCTGGGATTACAGGTGTGCGCCATCACGGCCGGTCTCAATCATCTTTTAACCTGGTTTCCTAGTGCTTTGTGCTTAGAAAGCCTGGACTGTGCAGAGATGTGAAAATCTTCATGTATACTTGTGTCCCAAGAGTTGTTTAAACTAGATAGATCATAAATTCTGAAATGTGAATGTAAGAAAGAGGGAGATGGGATTTAGTAGTGCGAAACCTAGAGGTTGTTTTCATCTTACCAGAAAAGTCAGAATGTTCCCTAAAACCCCACTCACCATCTCATTTTAAAGCTGAAACCAAAAGCTCCGGTGTCTCCAGGTTCAAATTAGGTCTCATAAATGGATGAAGTGGAACAGGTAGAAACAGCAGCAAATTGAGCTCACGTGCCCCATCTAAAGGGGCATTATTACCCTGCTCTAGCTGATATTGTCCAAACCAGACAGATAATCCAACACTGCTAGACCTTCCAAGAGAAGCCAGAGAACTGCAGAAGTTATGGGAAAGATCCCTCCTCCTTATTTGTTCATGCTGTCAGGCCCAAACAAAATATGTTTATAGATCCATTTCAGTCACAGGCTGTCATTCTGAAATTTCACTTCAAGAGAAACATGTAACACAGGCATTCAAGCCAATCTCAGGTGAAACATAGTCACCTAAGAAGAGGATCCCAGACTGGGTGCAATGGCTCACACCTGTGATCCTAGAAATTTGGAAGGCTGAAGCAGGAGGATGGCTTGAGGCCCGGAGTTTGAGACCGCCCTGAGCAACATAGTGAGATCCCATCTCTTTTAAAAAATGGAAAAAAGAAAGAAGAGGAGCCTTACAGGAGGGGCACAGACATTCCCCTTACCAGAGCTGGCTAGGATATCCTGCTCCTCTAATTTTTTTTTTTTTTTTTGAATCAGGGTCTCACTCTGTCACCAAGACTGGAGTGCAGCAGCATAATCATGGCTCACCACAGCCTTAACCTCCTGGTCTCAAGTGATTCCTCCTGCCTTAGGCTCCCGAGTTGCTGGGACTATAGGCATGTGCCCCCACCTCAGCTAATGTTTTAATTTTTTGTAGAGACAGAGTCTGGCTATGTTGGCTGACTGGTCTTGAACTCTTGGGCTCAAGCTTCCCAAAATGTTGGGATTACAGGCATGAGCCACCATGCCTGGCCCCACCTATCTCAGAAGATGAAAATATATAGTTGTGAACAAAAAAGACAAAAGCTTTGCTCTCAGAAGTTGCATTCTAGAGGTTGAAATGTTCTGTTGAAAAGATATTAGAATGATTCCATGTCTAGGGAACCATAAAAATTTCACCTAAATGACTTTAGTAAAGTCTCAGAATACACAATCAATGCTCAAGAATCAGTAGCATTTCTATACCCCAACGATATTCAAGTTGAGAATCAAATCAAGAACACAATTTACAATAGCCACCAAAAAAAAACCCTCAGAATATATTTAACCAAAGAGATAAATAACCTCTACAACAAGAACTACAAAACACTGCTGAAAGAAATTAAAGTTGACAAACAAATGGAAAAATATTCCATGCTCATGGATTCAAAGAATCAATATTGTTGAAATGCCCATACTACCCAAAGGAATCCGCAGATTCAGTGAAATCCCTGTGTTTTTTCACAGTTCTAGAAAAAACAATACTTACATTCATATGGAAACAAAAAAGAGACTGAAGAGCCAAAGTAATTCTAAGCAGAAAGAACAAAGCCGGAGGCATGACACTACTGGACTTCAAGGTTTACAACAAGCTGCAGTAACCAAGACAGCATGGTACCAGTAAAAATAGATACACAGACAAATGGAACAAAATAGAGAACCGAGAATAAAACCACTGACCTACCACCAACTGATCTTTGACAAAATTGACAAAAATAAACACTGGGGAAAGGACACCCTATTTAATAAATGGTGCTGTGTAAACTGGTTAACCATATGCAGAAAAATGAAACTGGACTCATTCAAATTTTTGTATATAAAAATTAACCCAAAATGGATTAATGACTTAAAAGTAAGATCTCAAATTTTAAAAATTCTAGAAGAAGGTCTAGGAAACACTTTTCTGGACATCAGCCTTGGCAATGAATTCATGATCAAGTCCTCAAAAGTAAATGCAGCAAAAGTCAAAATCGACACCAGGACCTAATTAAACTAAAGAGCTTCTGCATAGCAAAAGAAACTATCAACAGAGTAATAGACAACCTACAAATGAGAGAAATGTTTGAAAACGATGCATCTGACAAAGGCCTAATATCCAGAATCTATAAGGAACTTAAACAAATCAGCAGGAAAAAAACAAATAACCCCATTAAAAAGTGGGCAAGGCCAGGCTCAGTGGCTCAGCCTGTAATCCCAGCACTTTGGGAGGCTGAGGTGAGTGGATTGCCTGAGGCCGCGGGTTCGAGACCCACCCGGCCAACTTGGTGAGACCTCATCTCTACAATAAATCAAAAATTAGCCGAGCATGGTAGTGTGTGCCTATACTTCCGGCTACTTGGAAGGCTGAGGCAGAAGGATCACTGGATCCCAGCAGGTCGAGGCTGCAGTGGCCGGGAGTGTGCCACTGCACTCCAGTCTTGGCGACAGAGCGAGACTCCAACTCAAAAAACAAACAAACAAAAAAAGTGGGCAAAATGCATGAACAGACATTTCTCAAAAGATGGCATATGAGGTCTCACAATTAAGTTCGTGAACTTGCCACTGTGCGCTTACATTGGCAGCCCTGAAACAACTCGGTAAGGTTTCATAACCTTGGTATATCAGTGTCTCACAGTTGTGTTTGTGTTGACATGTGGCAGTGTCTTGCTGAGTGGCATTCATTATTGTTGTGTGTTTTTGTGTGTCATCATTGTTGTGTGTCATCATTGTTTTTGTGTGTCATCACTGTTGTTGTGTGTTTTTGTGAGAATGTCAGAGCTTGAATGAGAGCAACAAACATTAAATTTGTTGTTAAACTTGGCAAGAGTGAAAGTGAAATCAGGCACATGTTAGTTCAAGTTTATGGGGATAATGCCATGAAGAAAATGGCAGTATACAAAAAACGGGATGATACGTTTTTCTGAAGGGAGAGAAAGCATCACTGATAAAGAGAGGTCAGGATAACCACTAATGAGAAGAACTGATAAAAACATGGCAAAAATTCATTGAACTGTGCATTCAAATCATTGGTTGACTGTGAGAAGCATAGCAGACCAAATAAACACTGATAGAGAAAAAGGAAAATCTTAACCGAAAATCTTGGCATGAGAAAGGTGTGTGCAAAAATGGTCCCAAAGGAGCTCTTACATCATGACAATGTGAGGGAGTTTTTAGCCTGTAAACAAATAACTGTATTGGAACACCCTCCCTACTCACCTGATCTGTCTCCCAGTGATTTTTTTCTTTACCCAAAGATAAAGAAAATATTAAAAGGAAGACATTTTGGGTGACATTCAGGACATCAAGGGTAATACGAAGAAAGCTCTTATGGCCATTCCAGAAAAAGAGTTCCAACATTGCTTTGATGGGTAAACTAGGTGCTAGCATCAGTGCATAGCTTCCCAAGAGGAGTATTTCGAAGGTGACCATGGTGATATTCAGCAATGAGGTATGTGGCGCTTTTCCCAGGATGAGTTCACGGACTTAATTGTTAGACCCCCAAGTGGCCAACAAACATGAAGAAGGTGGGAATACAAGCTAGTTCTGCCCCATGGAAAGCAGTTTGGAGATTTCTCAAATAACTAAAAATAGATTTACCACTCAACCCGACAATCCCACTACTGGGTATATACCTAAAGTAGCATAAATTGTTCTACCAAAAACACACCTGCATTTTTTTTTTGAGTCAGACTCACTTTGTCACCCAGGTTGGAGTGCAATGGCTACCGTAGCCTTGACCTATTGGACACGGGTGATCCTTCAGCCTCAGCTTTCCAAGTAGTTGAAACTACAGGCGCACACCACCATGGCCAGCTAATTTTTTTATTGATTATAGAGATGAGGACTCACCAATTTGTCCAGGCTGGTCTCAAACCCATGGGCTCAGGCAGTCCTC